AATGATGCTTTGTGGGTCTCAAACTTGGGCTGACCACAGGAAAGCCGGAAGGTAGAAGAGTATACAAATTAGGAGCAGATGTGGACCATTCAGTTCTGAGTCTACTCTGCCATTCAACAAGGTCACATTTGATCTGTTTGTGTTTTGAATTCCACACCACATTCCCACCTACACTTGACCACTTTAAATTCTTGTTAGGCAAAGAAATCAATCTAGCTCAGGAGGAGGTAGGGTCATTAGGAAGTAGGTGGGGGAGGTGAAGGGGGAGGTGGGGAGGTAGATGAGAAATTCAGAGAGGGGTCGTCCACTGAGGCAAGATGGGAAGAGCTCAAAAATAAGATGGGTGCAATCGCTCTGATAGGATTATACTATAGGCCCCCTAACAGCCACCGAGAGATTGAGGAACAAATATGTAGGCAGATTATGGAAAGATGCAATAACAACAGGGTTGTCATAGTGGGTGACTTTAACTTCCCCAATATTGACTGGGACTTCCTTAGAAGAAGAGGCTTAGACAGGGCAAAATTTGTTAAGTGTATCCAAGAGGGTTTTCTCAAGGACAAATTTCATCAGTATTAGGCAGGAGTTAGGGAGTGTTAATTGGGAGGAGCTGTTATTTGACACGGGGAATTGTTTAATGACCTGCTGATTAGAGTTCAGGACCCGCATGTTCCAGTAAGGAGGAAGGACAAGGATGGCAAGGTAAGGGACCCTTGAGTAATGAGGGAGGTTGTGAATTTAGTCAAAAAGAAAAAAAGCACATTTAAGGTTTAGGAAGCTAAAATTGGACAGGTCCCATGAGGAATATAAAGAAAGCAGGAAAGTACTCGAGCAGGGAATTGGGAGAGCAAGAAGAGGCCATGAAACGATCTTGGCAAATAGGTTAAAGAGAATCCCAAGGCATCGTATGCATACATTAAAAATAACAGGATAACTAAGGAGAAAGTAGGACCACTCAAGGATAAAAGAGGTAACTTGTGCTTGGAGGCAGAGGGTAAGATCCTAAATGAGTATTTTGCATCAGTATTCACCCAGGAGAAGGATATGGAGGATAGTGGGATTAGTGTGGAACATGCTAATACACTAAGGCATTTTGAGATCAAGAAAGAAGCGGTGTCGGGTCTTTTGAAGTGCATTAAGGTGGATAAATTCCCAGGGCCCAATGGCATCTGCCCCGGGTTATTGAGAGAGACAAGAGAGAAGATTGCTGGGGGCTTGACCAAGATCTTTGTATCCTCGTCAGCCACTGGAGAGGTTCCCGAGAACTGGCAAGTAGCTAATGCTCGTTTGTTCAAGAGGGGAAATAGGGATAATCCAGGAAACTGTAGACCGCTGAGTCACATATCGGTAGTTGGGAAGCTATTGGAGAGAATTCTTAGGAATAGGATTTACACAGATTTGGAAAAGCATTGCCTAATTGGGGACAGACAGCATGTCTTTGCACAGGGCAGGACATGTCTTACTAACTTGATTGAATTTTTGAGATGTCAAAGGTGACCGATGAGGGTTTTTTAAATTTATTCACGGGATGAGGATGTCAGTGGCTTGGCCAGCATTTTTTGCCAAGAGGGCAGCTATGACTCAAACACATTGCTCTGAGTCTGAAGTCACACATAGGCCAGACTAGGTAAGGATGGCAATTTCCTTCCCTAAAGGACATTTAGAGGGCCAGATGGGTTTTTCCGACAACAGATTCATGGTCATCATTAGATTCTTAATTCAAGATATTTAAGGAATTCAAATTCCACCAGTTGACGTGGCAGGACTCAAACCCAGGTCCCCAGAACATCAGCGATAATAAGGTGTAGAGCTGGATGAACACAGCAGGCCAAGTAGCATCAGAGGAGCAGGAAAGCTGACGTTTCGGGCCTAGACCTTTCTTCAGAAAATCTCTTCAGCACCCTCTCCAAAGCCACCACATCCTGCCTGTATTGTGGTGACCAGAACTGAACGCAATACTCAAAGTCTTGCCTAACCAAAGTCTAATAAACCTGCAATATGATATCCTGTCTCTTGTACTCATTTCCCTGACCACTAAAGACAAACATGCCATACACCTTCCTTACCACCCTACCTACTTGAGTGGCCACTTTCAGGGAGCAAGATTGCTCTGTACATCAATACTATTCAGATTTTCTGAAGAAGGGTTTAGGCCCGAAACGTCAGCTTTCCTGCTCCTCTGATGCTGCTTGGCCTGCCGTGTTCATCCAGCTCTACACCTTGTTATCTCAGATTCTCCAGCATCTGCAGTTCCTACTATCTCTCCCCAGAACATCATCTGGCTTTCCTGAATTAACAGTTCAGCGATAATACCACTAGGCCATTGCCCCCCTAGTGGATGTTGTCTACGTGGATTTTAATAAGGGTTTCAACAAAGTCCCTCAAAGTGGGCTCATACAGAAGATTAAGATGCATAGGATCCATGGTGATTTGGCTGAGAGGATTCAGAATTGGCTTACCCATAGAAGGAAGAGGGTAGTGGTGGAAGAAGGGTGTTTTTCGGACTGAAGGTCCATGACTGGTGGTGTTCCACAGGGTACTGGGACTTCTGCTGTTTGTGATATGTATAAATGACTTGGATGAAAACATAGATGAGTGGCTTAGTGACTTTGCAGATGATACAATGATACAAAGATCAGTAGAGTCGTGATAGTATAGAAGATTGTCAAAGGATACAGTTGGATATAGATCAGTTGCAGATATGGGCAGAAAAATAGCAGCTGGAGTTTAATACAGCTAAGTGTGACATACTGCACTTTGGGAGATCAAATGTTAAGCATACAGTTAATGGCAGGACCCTGAACAATATTGATGTACAGAGCAATCTCGCTCTCTGAAAGTGGCCACTCAAGTAGGTAGGGTGGTAAAGAAGGCGTATGGCATGTTTGTCTTTATTGGTCAGGGAAGTGACCAGTACAACATGTTGCAGGTTTATAAGACTTTGGTCAGGCCACACTTTGAGTATTGCGTTCAATTCTGGTCACCACAATACAGGCAGGACAAGGTGGCTTTGGAGAGGGTGCTGAAGAGGTTTACCAGGATGCTGCCTGGATTAGAGGGTATGAGCTAGAAAAACTCAGGTTGTTTTCTTTGGAGTGGCAGAGGCTAAGGGGAGACTTGATAGAAGTCTATAAAATTATCAGCTGTTTAGATAGCGTTGGCCGTCAGAATCTTTCACCCCCCCGCCCAAGAGTTGAAGGGTCTAAAATTGGGTGGCATGCATTTACGGTGAGGGGGGGGGGAAAAGAGTTCAAAGGGGTTTTAAAGGGCAGGTTTTCTTAGTGTGGTAGTAGTTTGGAACGCACTGCCAGGAATAGTGGAGGAGGCAGAAACGATAGGGCTGTTTATCTAAAAGTCCCTTAAGCACACGAATATGCAAGGAATGGAGGAATATGGATCTAGGGCAGGCAGAAGGGATTAGTTTAATTTGGTATCATATTCAGCACAACATCGGGGGCAAAAGGGCCTGTTCCTGCACTTTACAGTCCCATGTTCTAAATGGCAGGTCATGAAGTTGCAAATTGCATTAGCATACAATTCAGCCTCATGGATGCCTAGTGGAGTTGCAAGATGAAGGAAGATCTACCCTAATTAGTGGCAATGCTGTTGGCTTTCCCAATGGTTAGGTTGATGCTGGTCCATTCAATTTTATTTCTTTGAGAATTTAGTCATTTGATTCAACTGCCTAACAAGCCCTTCACAGTTGTGAGTCAACTACATGTAGATATGGCGTCACAGACATGGACTGCAGATTTGGAGGACAGCTGGATTATTGTGTGCAGTTTTAATCACCACAGTGTAGTATGTAATTGCACTACAGTGTGTGCAGAAGAGATTCACCAGGATGCTGTCTGGGCTGGAATGATTCAGTTGTGAAGACAGACTAGATAGGGAGGGACTGTTTTCCTTGGATTGGAGAAGGTTGCTGTGTATGTGTGCAAGTGCATAGAATCCAAATGATGTGTATAAAGTTGAGGGATACAGAGTCAGCTGGATAGGGAGAAACACCCATAATTGAGGGGTCAATGAGTATGGGGCACAGTTTTAAAGTAAGAAGCAGGGGATTTATTGGGAATTTGAAGAAAAGCTTTTCTTCAGCTGCAGGGTTGAGTGTATCTAGAATTCACCATCTAAAAAAAAAATGGTAGTCAAGGCAGGAATCCAATAAAGAACTATTTAGATGAGCATTTGAAATGTCATAGCATACAAGGCGACCAGCCAAGTGCTGGCAAACAGGATTGGAATGGACGGATGTTTGATTCCTGGCGCAGACACAACAGGCTCAAGGGCCTCTTTCAGTGCTGTTAGGAAAAATATCACCTCCTTTCCTAAAAGGACATTAGTGAACCAACTGGGTTTTTAAATGACAAACTGATAGATTTCTTTTTGCCTGGGTCTCTGGGTAATTAGCCCAGTGGCAGTACCCAACACCATTGCCTCCCACTAACAGGAATCCATAATCTCATTATTCTGTTTAAGAGAGACGATAGTGAACATTTCAGAAACTTTCAAGTCAGGGATGAGCATTTTAAAAATGTGGAATGAATGCCAGTGTTCCATTTCCAAAACCTTGTGGTACATATTAACCCAATGGCTGCCAGCATAGCAACCAGCTCACTGCTGCTTCAGTGCTCTCCATATTGCTGTACAGTTTTCTATATATTTCCTCACACTACCTTTCCTCCACTCTCCATTTAATCTATTCACCTAACCCCAAATACATATCCTTTTTTCTCCCCTCAACATAAATGTCAGTGAGTAAGCATTGAGCCAGATGCTGGACAACTAAATTAAGTCCACGGGGTCTGATTCCATCCAGACAGTGAAACTCCTAGAATGCTGGAAGGAGTCAACATTTTTATTTTAAGAGTCATCTGGTTTCTTATAACACAGCAGCCAGGTGGGAGTAGAAACCGCTGGAGCACTATAGTTAGCTTTTAGTACATTGGAACCCTTGCAGAGGATTAATGAAATTATTCCAAAATTATACATACACAGAATTCAGTATACAGTATCATTTTATTTGAGAATTATGCATGACTTCAAAATTACAACTCCCAAGAAGCAAAACTTCAAGAACAGAAATAGCTCACTAACCAATTGAGGGAAAGAAGATTTTATTGAAAATTTTATGAAAAAGTATTAAATTATCAAAAAAAGGGAAAAAAAGGGAGAAGGATCATTACTTCCTAACAAAGCACACACACTTCGAATCAGAAATGTACTTAAGAGGCTGGAACTTTCAACTTGGTTGTACAAGTACAAATGAAATAGTCTCTTAAAAAGGAAGAGTTTGCAAAATTTAGTTGATTTAAAATTGCTACATTCTCAATATATATGCTGTTAAAAACCATTTGAAGCAAAATGTTTTAACAGGAGCAAGTTATAGCTGGCTCCAGAATAAATGCTCTTCAAAACAGTGCCACAAGATCTCACGTTCAGTAGAGAAGGCAGGTTATGCCTTGGTTTAAAGTCTAAAAAAGTGTCAGCCTGGTTTCTGTCCTCAAGTCTCTGCAGTGCAGTTTGAACAGACAACATTTTGCAAGGGCCCTAACACCGAACCAAGGCCAAGAGTAACAAATGAACCTGTGAATGAATTTCCACATCCTAGAACTAACAGGGAAATGCCCTCTGTTGCACATCATGTCACAAGCAGCACTCAGTGAGAGCATGGGGAAAGAAAAGTTGAAATCAGCCAGGTTCAGTTCAATCCATTACAACAAAACACATTTCTCTATAAAATCATCGGTCAATGTTATTGCTGAAAAAAATTGGCTCTGTACACAAATTTCATGAGTAAGACAAAATACAATTCTTCAAAAATAGGATTGTATACAATTTCTATTTAAATTTACATATTTTTACTGAATTTAAGAGATCACTCCTATTTTCACTTTTCTTTAAAAACAGCAGCAGCCCTTACAAAGTCTGCATCCAGTTAATTTTAAGCATCCATTATGGTTTTACCATCAATTACAATCCAATAGTCAGAGGTGCAGGTACATTAGTTAAGAAAACCACTTGGAGCTACTACTGACTTTGCTTGAGCAAACTGCTTTGGAGTTTAGCCCAGAAGCACTGGTGAAGGGATTAGCGTAGAAAATACTGAGGACAAGAACAGCATCATGATCCGAATACTGAGGTAAAGCAAATAGAAGCCTCTAAACAACACATACTTTGTTAGAGGGTATGGTCGCGAGAAGTTGCTGCTTCAACAAGTAGCCAAACAGTCTGTGCAGTAAGAACATTGAAAATATGACTCTCTTCCAGATTTCCACTTAGTTAAGGGTTCGATTTGAGGGAAGATATCTATAATAGATACATCTGCACCATTTCCAGCTTTGTATCTAATCCCTGGTCTAAACTTTGGTACAATTAGTTATGAATAGTGGCACTTGAAAAATCCATCCTCCATTTTCAATGGTATTTACAATCAGACCTAAAAGGGCTGGGCACAAAGGCAGTATGTTTATAGTGAGTCACTGAATAACCGAAACCAGACAGAGGGAAGTGGCTGGTAATACTGACTAGTTCCAAACTGCACAGAACAGTGTAGCCAAAGAAGAAAACAATACTGCCCATTGAATTTGGTTGTTAAAAATCATTTAAAATTTTACAAATCAAGGATGGTTAAGATACAGATGGCAAACTCTGTCTGACTGACAAGAGATCCAAATGGCAGTACAACTGGAGTCAGGCAGACAGGTTTCCCCAATACTACACATCTCCCCATCTACAGTTCAGTATGTGGCAGAACGAAGCCCAGAAAAAGACAAGTCATTGGAGACTATTTGTGAAGTAGAACTACCCAGCATTAATAACATCCAAATTTGGAATTCACTTTTTGCTGTAACAACAGCAATTTTGGAAGCAAGAAAATTGCTGGTCAAGTAAATATCCGCATTTACTAGATAATGCAAAGCTATTACATCCTACTTAAAATTTGCACCAAAAGCTAAATTTGATTTTAAAGTAAAAGGATGCCATGGCTTTAGGTCTTTGCAGGAGGGAAAAAAAAAGACAAAGACAATCAAATAAAACAGAAAATTCAATTTTTGTTTCTAACCAAGAAAAGGCATCAAATTTTGTAGACAGAGGCATGAAGCACAAATCAGCGGCAGAACTTAAGTACTTGCTCCTTCACAGTCTAATTACAAGGTGGATTGATGTGACCCTTGTAGCCAAGTCTTGTACTTGATAATGACCTCCCTCTCCTCTTCCAGGGTCATGTCAAGGTAGTCTTCTTCATGCTCTGGGATATCTGCCAAAACTTCTTCCACAATTTCACGCTCCCTTTGCTTTTCTTCTGAGGGGTCTGCTGAGGCAGGTATTAAAAAAAAAAACAAAAAAACTAATTTTAAAAAAGTTGTGTCTATGTTGCAGCATTATTTCATTCTTGGCTGAAAATGTAGAAAACTCTCAATTTAGCTGCTGACAAGGCTATATTTAACATTTTATTAAACACAATCCCGGGGCAGGGGGGATCTTGGGACTGATCACCATCTAGCCACCACTGCGACATTTACATGGACAATGGATCTGGACTGTGATAGTCCCTCGACAGGATGGAAGGGATCACATATCCTCAACAATCAATGTCCAATCATTGCTGTTACTGAAAAAACAAACTAGATCAGCCATATAAATACAATGGTGACAAGTACAGCTTGGATTAACTTCAACTTCAACCTCAACTTCTACCATCTAGTATTCAAGCCAGGAGCATAATGACATGCACTCCAATTGCCTTGATGGGTGCAGCTCCTAAGGCACATGAGGAATTCAACTGACATTGGGAGTTGGGAGGTCATGTAGGTGTACAGGACATTGGTTAGGCCACTTTTGGAATACTGCATGGAATTCTGGCCTCTCTGCTATAGGAAAGTTGTTAAGCTTGAAAGTGTTCAGAAAAGATTTACAAAGAGGTTGCCAGGTTTGGAGGATTTGAGCGTTAGGGAGAAGCTGAACAGGCTGGGGCTATTTTTCCTGGAGGGTTGGAGCCTTCTAGAGATTTATAAAGGTCATGAAGGGCGTGGACAGGGTAAATAGACAAGGTCGTCAGTGGTAGACAACTGACAATAGTCAGTAAGATTCTTTATTCCCTTCACATGCTGTCCCCTTCCCAAACCAAGTGCTCAAGTCATTAATTCAGTTTATTAAAACACTGTCTAATTCAGTGACATGGCTCACTCCCCATCTGTGTACAACAGCATATATAAAGATCCCTAGTTACTATTTCAAAACCAAAAGCCTGTTGATATTCATCCTGATGTCATAGTCGATATTTATTCCTTCATCAACACTCAGATTACGCGATCTTTTATTATACTGAGCTTGGGGCCTTGCTGTGTAAAATTGACTGCCATGTCACCTACATGAAACTAACTACATTTCCAAAAGAAAACTTCATAGAACGCCCCAGGTGTTTCACAGGCTGAGCTCATGAAAGATGCTAAAGAAAGATTTGTGGTTCATTCTTTTCTCAGTAGTTTTGCACATTGACTCCAACTGCAGTTTTGCTAGTTAACATATTTTAATTACCTTCAACATCCATATCCTCTGGTGATGTCGATGAGGGAGGCGAATTAAGTAGACTTGACGGAAGGTATCCGCCATGATCTATCAAGGCCTGAACAGCCCGCTCAATGTTTCCATTAAATCTCCTGAGGGCAATTTCTGCAGCAGAATGATCAAAACCCAAAAACGCTACCTGTAAGGGAAGACATTCTTGAAAAGGATTTAACAGTTATTAAAATTATTGCCTGAATTCAGAAACTTTAGCTGCATTACCAAACTTAAGTGCAATCCAGTGAAACTCCTGGGAGCAGAAAACAAGTTGGGCAGGGGCACTTGAGTCTGAGGCAACATGCCAGCTATCTGATGAAAGTTGGTTAAGTTGACAACAAATTGAGGAAGCAGTGAGAAACAGGTGCCTTTAGATTCATGGCTAGTTTAAACAAAAATAGAAGGGGAGGCATTGATAGGGTGCTATAAAAAGGAGGATCCTGGGGGATGAACGTTGGAATATACAGGGAAGGGTTACATAGGCAAGGTCAATGGTCAGGTCCAGACAATCAAGACTAGGAGATAGTAAAGATGGAGGGCTGGGGATATTGGCTTCTCTTGTTCTCCCAATTAACGATTACCTGTAAAATGCATCCATACATATAGATGGTGGGACTGAGGACCATAAGACAACCATAAGAAATAGGGACAGGAGTAGGCATTCGGCCCCTCGAGCCAGCTCCACCATTCAATATGATCATGGCTGATCTTGGCAATGATATACAAGATGGATAAGTTCACACAGATAAAATTATTTGAGACACGTATTACAGGGTAGCTCAGCCATGGAATTATGCTCCTGAATGACTGGCACCTGGGGGCAGGGGTGGGGTGTTTGTTTACAAGGAAAATAAGCCAAAAATTTGGAATATGGTTGATACAGCAAATGTTGAGAGGCTAACACATTCACGACAGCACCCGTGAAGATTCAACCAGCTTGAATGCAAATTATCAATGGATCCATGGAAAAGAAACGATGCAAACCTGGTTAATAGTTTCTTCAGAAATTTCGATTCTGTTACTTGGTCCAGCTTCCTCATCATCCATATAGACTTGCTCTGTGCTGTGTTGAAGTATCTGAAAATAATGCAATTGATGGACGATCAGTCTAAAACCTACAATAACATTGTCCATATCAGCAATGAGCAAATTTCTGATATTTAAAATGGATACAATAAAAAATGGTTTTTAATAACCTGGCTGCTGAATAGACAGATGGATACGTCTAAATGATAAAACATGGTTCAAAAGATTGAGAAATATTACTTGATAAATTATGGGTCCCTGATGTATCTGGATGAAAAACCCAAGGAGCTTCAGAGTTCACCAAGTTGATATTTTAAACCGAAATGTAGGTTCAGCCTGCATTGGATCCAATACATCATCTTGATAAAGGGTTCAAGTTTTGATGTAGGAACTGACACCGAGGAGGTTTAATAAGGAGTTGTTTGGCACTTAAGTTTTCTGCTGGTGCTCATTAAAGGAGGTTGTACAGCATTCAGGTGAATAGTGTTCAACTCAATGCCCTCTAGCAGCTAATAAGTTGATTGGAAGTGAAGAAGTCCTTGCACAGGATTTTGGATATTACTTAAAATTACTTTAAATTCAGCTTGTTCCAGCAGGTTTGGAGTAGGAATTCAACATTTATTCTGGGAATTCGCGAAGACTTCATCCTAACAGCAAGTGATGCTGTATACTTAAGTAGGATTCACCAGGGGAAACAAAACATTTCAATCATTAGTATCTCACTTAGTATCCTCTTCAGTTTTCAAGAGGAGGAGGTGAAGACATTAAGGCAGTCAGAGCACAAGCAGCAAGTGAGAAGGACAAGGTGAGTGGGACTCCACTCTTCCAACCCTCCTTGGATGGATCTCCGTAACTAGGACCTCCAGTATATTAGAGGGCGTGTATGCCTCCTCCCTCAATCCCTCTAGCTGTCTCAATTATTTTAAATCCTGGCCATATTGCAGTTCCTTATGGGCCTTCAGCTACACCATTATGCAGAATTTGTTTCACCCAGTAGGATGTGCACTCATGCTGCAAACATCCCACTTAATTCTTCACTGACATCAGTTATAAAGTCAAGACCTCAATATCTTGCATCAGTTCCACAGACTCAAATAATTAACTAAAAAGTTCACACACACACCACTCATTCTACATAGAATGAACTATCACCTACAGCTTTCCCTGTGTGCACACAATCTCTAATGAAACTACTTAGTGAACCAGGGATGTTGAATTGTGCAACAGACAACATAGTACCTAGCACAATTTACATGTTTTATGCACCGCCTCTGGTGATCACCATTACTTCCTTCAGGAGAACTGAATTATAGTTATTATCTTAATTAGAGCTGCCTGGTTGCGCCAATTTACCATAGAAGCAAACACGACTAGGCCACTTATAAGTAAACAACGTAAAGCAAGACGTCCCTAACAGTGGCTGATTAAGCTTTGTAACAAATAAAGATACTAATTATTTGGCAGGACTAGATAGGGCAAGGCAAAAGCTAAAATTTATAGCAAGTTTGCAACTGATTTGATATTTTTGCAGTGTTAGGAGTGAACTGATCTGATACAAATGGAAACATTGTATTTTATCCTCTGGGTAAGGTATGTAAGTGACAGAAGATGACTATTCAATTCTTAGTTTGGATATTCAAGATATCAACTTCAGTATTGCAAAATGTAGAGACAATTAGGTAGTTCTGATTTATGTTAATAAGTTTTAGCCTCAGACACAAAACGGTACAGTATAGATTCTCCCAATCCTCAAATCACCACTACATCCCCACACCCAGCCCAAAAGCACAGTGGCATACAGTTCCTTTGATTGAGATGGCCAACCTGGGTGTACTTTACAATTCACATTGACTCCCTTGTTCAAAGACAGTAGGGATAGGCCAGGTAATTATAGACCAGTTAGTCTGACACTGGTGGGAATTGTTGGAAAAAAAATTCTAAAAAAAAGGACAGGATTAATCAATACTTGGAAAGGTGGAGATTGATCAGGGATAGTCAGCACCAACAGACAAGATAGAAAGGTGGTGCTGTAGTTAGCATTGCTGCCTCAAAGTTCCTGCGACCTGGGTTCAATTCCATCCCTTGGGTGACTGCATGGAGTTTGCATGTTCTCCCTGAGGCTGCATGGGTTCAACTGGGTTCTCAGGCTTCCTCCCACAATCCAAAGATGTGCAGGTTAGGCAATTTGGCACAGCCAATCTACCCATAGTGTCCAGGGGTGTTCAAGCAAGGTGGAATAGCTAAGGGAAATGCAGGTTTATGAGGTGTAA